TGAAAATTGTAAGTAAGAATCTCACCCTAAGGACTTGAGAAATGATGATGATTGTATTGACTCTTCTAGAGCTTGACTTTTAAGTTCATAGTATTTTCAATTTTTTAACTTTAAAGTTTGTGGTTGCAGATTTGTGCTTATGATTGTTGATTGTTGAATGTTTTATGAAGCCAGTTTCTAGTTTCTATCAGGGGACAGTGGATACAGAATCTCCCACAACTAATACTTTTGGAGTTAATGAATAAACTAAATACCTACTATCACATATATCACCTAAATATTTGTTTCTATGCACTAACCTAATTTTTTTATTTTTTAGAACTTTTTATATTTATTGACCGTATCACCGCAATGCACCCATTTCCGGACAGCATCGAGCCGCATCGCCGCATCAACTTCCCCAATGCTTTTGGCCGCATCTCGCATTTTAATACACTGGTCGAAACCAAGCTCCCAACCTCATTCCTTCCCCTCATCCGACAGCTTGGCGCTTCAGACCCTGTCAATGGGTCGCACTGGAAGCCAAAGGGGCCTTGGGAGGCATATATGGGTGATTTGGTATCCCACCCTTCACATTCTCTCTTCATCCTATGTAGGCAACTTCTCTGTCTTTGTTAGCCTTGCCAGAACCTCCAACGATCTTCCATAGAAATGCATCACCGTCTATGGCCCCAATTCTGATGGCATGAGAGGCTCTTTTAGGAGGAACTCCAAACGATCTCAGCCTTAGCCCCACCGATTTGGTGCATCGGCAGTGACCTCAATGTCATCAAATTGTCTTTTGAGTGGAATTCCAACCCGAAAATATCCCAAAGCATGCTCGATATTGTAGACTTCATCTCCGGTAATAACTCATAGATACCCTTTAGGGAGTTGAATTTACTTGATCTAGCCACCCCTCTAATCCCTCTCTCTAAACTGGATAGATTCCTCATCTCCCTGGAGTGGGACTCACAGTTCCTGGGAGCCCATGAACTAGCTCTCCCCAAATCCACCTCGGACCACAAGCCCATGCTTTTAGACACAGTGGTTGTCATCAGAAGGTCTAAAGTCTTCTGTTTTGAATTGGCATGTCTTGAAGAGCCTACTTTTATGTTCCTTATCCCAGCTTGGTGGGAATCCTTCTTAGATCAGATCCAAGGTTGGGCCAGATTCCGTTTCCAATGCAAACTCCAATTACTCGAACCTGCTCTCAAAAATTAGAGTCGCCACCTTCTTGGAAACTTCCGATCCCAGAAAGAAACTTTACTACAAACCATAGAGCACTGAGACTCCTTAGCGGAGCAAAGACCTGACCTCAAAGAAAAGGAACTCGAGATCTCAAGCTAAGCTCGACTGCTAGCTCCTCCTCAAAGAAGAGAACTGTTGGTCACAACAATCTAGAGTCAAATAGCTCAAATATGAAGATCTCAATATGGCTTTCTTCCGTAAGACAGCCAACTGCAGGAGACGTGACAACTCTATCTCCCAAACTAAAATTGGTGATCTCATATTCGACGAACCCCCTCTCATAGAGAAGGCCATAACCTAAGTGGCCTGGCTAGATTGCCCTTTCTCTGGAGGCAAAATCCTTCGAGCCATCAAAGACCTTAGTCAAGACCGAGTCCTTGGCTCTAATGGATACATATCGAAGTGTTCAATCACTTTTGGGACTCCCTTTGCCCAAACCTGCTCATGTTTTTCTACCAATTCCATGCCAGAAGCATAATCCACAAGGCCATGAATTTATCGCTTTGATTCCCAAAATCGAAGGCGTCGAGGAGCTCAAAGATTTCAAGTCTATCGACCTGATCAACAACTCATACAGAATCCTCTCCAAGGTCCTCGTTTCTAAACTGAAGGAGGTCTTGGGTTGGGTCATCCCCTCGACCCAAGGAGCCTTCGTTAAAGATCGTCAAATTCTAGATGGCCCACTAGTTGCACATGAGTGGATCCATTCCAGATTTCTATCAAAATACAAGCAGTAATCATCAAATAGACTAGGAGAAGGTGTATGACCACATAGACTGGAACATCCTCGACGAAACTCTTTGTAGGATGGGGTTTGGCCGACATTGGGGGGGCTGAATCAGCAGATGCACATCCAGCCCCCACTTATTGGTCCTCATTAATGGCTCTCACAAAGGCTACTTTCCTGCATCAAGAGGCCTCATATAGGGTGACCCCTTTCGCCCTTCTTGTTTGCCATAGTAGTGGAAGTATTCAGCTGATCCATTACCGGGATGTATCAAACAGCCTTCTTAGAGGTTTCACAAAAGGGAATCATGGCCCTGAGATTGCTCACCTGCAGTATGTCAATGAACCCATCATTTTTTGCGATATCTCCACCCAACATATCAATTCCCTCCTCTTTCTCAAATGCTTTGAAATGGCCACCGGCTTCAAGGTAAATATGGCCACATCCAAAATGATGGGTGTAGCCACCCAGCCAAGAGTGGTTCTCCGTCTCGTAGACCGGTGGGGCAGAAAAGCCAACAAACTGCCGTCCATTTACTTGGGGCTACCATTATGCATCGGCAAGCCAAAGTTGAGGCAATGGAGTCGCATCAATAAATTTGATTGGAAGCTTGCAAACTAGAAAGGTAGACTCTCACCTCGGGGGCGGATCACCCTTATCAAGGCGACCCTAGCCAATATCCCCATATTCTGATATCTCTTTTCCATATGCCTGCGTTCAATAGTGGCTAAGCTGGAACAACTCCCGAGGAACTTCCTCTAGTCGAGCGAGGGGCCCGTAAATTCCCCCTCATCTCATGGGCTAAAGTCTGCTCGCCCAAATCTCAAGGTGGCTTAAGAACAAGCAACCTAAAAAGTAACAACCTTGCACTCTTGGGTAAGTGGTGGTAGCGCTTTGCCACACAACAAAATCACCTCTAGCAAGAGGTCATCCGTCACAAGTACTGATGTGCAGGCTAGCTCCCCCGTAGCCAAATCAGCCATAGATCCTTTGGGATCTAGAAATCCCTTCTTCGTAGCCTAAATCTTTTCAAAGACAACATATGTTTCAGGTCTAGGGATGGCAATAGAGTCCTCTTCTGGTCTGACCTTTGGATAGGCCACTTACCTTTGAAGGAGCGGTTCCCCACCCCATTCCTCCTAGCCCGCGACAGCGAAGCAACAATGGCTAGTCATTTCAATTCATTGCAGTCTTTTAGAAGTTGGATCCCAATTTTAGGAGGCCCTTAGCTGATCAGGAGGTCGAAGGCTTTCTGGCCTTGTCCTACCTCCACCACTCTGCTTTCGTACCTCTAAACGAAGCCGACACGATCATCTAGTCACCCACCCCCTCAGGCGTCTTCTCGGTGGCATCCTTCGACCGCAAAATCACCACGACATGCTCTAACAGCAGCATCCTTGTCAATAACGGCCAAAGCTTGGTTCTCTTTCGTCCCCTCCAAAATCCAAGTCTTTAAAGTTGGGTTCTAGGAGAACCTTGACCATAGACCAACTCCAAAGAAAGGGAATTCACATTCCAAATGAATGTCCCATGTGCACAGCTGAAGAAGAAATCAATGCAAATCTCTTCATCCACTGCAACCTCTCCAGATCCCTTTAAGGTGACATCCTCCAACTCTTCAATCCTCGGTGACCCTGAGGTCAGTCCCTGACCTCTTCATCACCTATCTCTTCCCACCTTGGTCATAATCAGGTATACTCCTTCGCCAGGCTTCAGTGGCCGCCATGCTATGGGTAATTTGGTTAGAAAGGAACAACCAAACTTTATGAGGGAAAGATCGCAAATGAAATTCTAAAAGAGAAGGGAAGGACTCAGTTGCAATTTGGGCCCAAAATCACAAATCCTTCAAGCACTTCTCCCACACAGACTTTTACCAAAACTGGCAGGCATTCTTGTACCATTGACCTACCAAATCTCTTGTGCCTCTCTATGGAGATCACCTAAACCAGGCTATACCAAGTTAAATTTTGATGGTTGCCCCCTCGCCCAACCCAGGGGCATTTTCAGAGACGAGGACAGCTGCACTCTCCTCTCCTTCTCACATTTCGTCGGCCACACTGATTCCAAACTTCGTGGTGGCAGTGGCTCTATTGGTAGGCCTTAGAAATTTCAATCCCTACTGGAGCTCAGAATTGTTCATAGAGGGTGACTCCAAAAAATGTCATAGCCTTGGCTTCAGATCCTGGCCCTCACCCTGGAGACTAGACCATATTTTTTATGAGATTTGTCATATTTGTATGCATATGTGTCTCATGGAGACATGCTTGGCGAGAGGCCAACATGGCAGCAGACACTCTCGCTAAGCAGGGAGCAGCTCAGGATGGCACTCAGGGTATTTTTGGCACCTTTTTGAGCACATAATCCCTTGATTTTGTATTTAGTTTTATTTGCCTTTTGCTGATTGTATACCATTTTTTGGGCCCCTGTGAGGGTTTTTGTTTGTTGCACCCAACATCCGGGATGCTGCTTCTTCTTGTTGTTGTTGTATCACTATTGTTATTGTTATCGTACAAGCAAGAGAATTTGTGTGCTAAAAATGGGGTTAAATAAATGACCCTAATATTGTTTTTTTAGGGTGGATACACACACACCCCTCACTATTTCTAGCAGGAGGCTTACCAAGTCGATGAATTTAGATAATATTCAAAGCCAAAAAAACCAATATTCAACTTTACAATTTATATTTTAATTATTTTCTACAATTTTGATGATTCCCACATTTATTTTTTCTTCCTATAACATTAATAATTTCTTTTCAAGAATTTAATCTTCAAGACTCACCTGAGTCGTTGGTCCATAGTTGACTTGCCATGAACTTCAGGCAAGATCTGAGCCAAGTCCAAGTCACAGAACGATGTGAATCCCAACACACACCCAAAATTAATGAAAAGAACAAAGAATAAGTGAGGTAAGTGCAGGACATATTATTTTTCCATGGGTGGAAAGATAAAATTATCCTTCATAGAGATACATTGATAAAGCCATAGACATCTGCAGAAAATTATTTGGGGATAGGTAGTCCCTATCTACACAGATATTCTACCTCACCACCAGCAGCAAGCTTTGTACCATCTCTAGCAAAGGTCAATGCAATCTGTTGCCCAACATCTTCTAACATCATAAGTGTTGTGTCTGATGGCTCAATAGTCAGTTTGTGACCTTCTTCATTCTTTTCCAAGTCCCACTCAAACCAGCTGCAAACACAAAACAGAACAACTATTTAGCATTTCAGCAATCACTAGTTAATGTCCCATATTTTGTAAAAATCATGTGGTTTGTTGACCAACATCTTCTGACATTAAAACATATCCACATAAACTCACAAGTGAACACTTAGTTGTAGCCTATCAAGCAATTCTTTCATGTAATAATATGACAATATTAAAGATGCTCCAACTTGCATAATAGACAATCATTATTAATGTCCTAGAATCCTTACAAAGCTTGTAACAACTTGAAGGAGCTTGGACGGTAATCATTTCTTGCAGGTTTATAGATAGTTTCACATAATAACATGTGAAGCATAGTGAGGTAATGCATACAATATAGTAACAGACCAGATATATGGACAATGCACAACTAGTCCAGTGTTATGGTTCCACATATGTCAGAACCTATAAAACAAAGTATATTTTTTCCCTCTTTTTGGGCTTTTGGCTTGGTAAACATGGGTTTTGCAGGGTTACCACCCATTAGATTGCTCCCCAGACAAACATTGTACAATGTGGCCAAGACCGACAAGCAACTTCGGTAACTAAATGCAACACAAAACCAGTATATCCCTTCCCAATTATAACAATAATAATCATGTTTGGGATTTCACCTACCATAGTACATATTTCATTTCGAGAGAATAGCTTAAGAAATAAATAAAAAATTGACAGATGCCATAATTAAGGGGGGGCAAGTCAACACGAAAGTCGTAAAGACAGGAAATTGGAATCTTAAATTCTCCAAGGACACATCAAAAAATACATAAAAAATGCATGCAAGGGGCTCAAGTTTGATGCAACTAGTGTCATCATCATTATCATCATCATCAGAGCCTTTTTCCAACCATTTGAAGTCGGGTGCACGAATCCCGGTCCACCATTCTGCTCCATTAATGGCCATACTCTTAGTAAGGCTATAAGTCCCATATATTTTTCCACTATTTCCAACCATATTCTTTTGAGCTTATAACTTGCCCTTCTTGAGCTTTCTACTTGAACTAACTCGCACCTCCTAACAGGTGTTGTACTAGGTCTGCATTACACATAGCCAGCACACCTAAGTCTATTTTCTCACATCTTATCGCCTATTGGAGCCACACCTAAGTTCTCCTGAATGTATTCATTTCGAATTTTGTCCCTTTTTGTCTTACCACTCATCAATCTCAACAACCACATCTCAGCTACACTCATCCTATGGGTATGTTATTTTTTGACAGCCCAATATTCCACTCCATAAAGCAAAGCTGGCCTCATAGTTGTCCTATAGAACTTGGCCTTCAGCTTCATTGGTATGCGTCAATCACATAAAACTCTGGTTGTATATCTCCACTTCGCCACCCAAGTCTAATTCTATGTGTAACATCTTCCTCAATCTCTTTATTTTCCTGGATTATCGATCCAAAACATCGAAAGTACGCTTTTATTGTACTTTTTGGACATCAATTTTAACTACTTCCTCGTGTCTACTCCTATTATTACTAAACTTGCATTTTATATGCTTTGTCTTAAGACCTTTAGATTCTAGAGCATCCCTCCAAAGTTCTAACCTTGTGTTAGCGCCACTTCGAGTGATCGGGTCTCATCGATCAAAACTACACCATCCGCAAATAACATACATCACGACACCTAGTTAAGTCGTCCATTACTAGGACAAAGAGGTATGGGCTCAATGCTGACCTCTAATGTAAACATATTGTCACTGAAAGCTCTTTTGTTTGTTCACTAGTTGTTCGTACACTAGTTAGCGCTCCTTCATACATATATCTCACTGAGTCAATGAGATATCTGGAGAGTGGAGACTATTTTCTTTTCAAACACCCATCAAATTAAATTTATAAGCTTTCTCTAAATCAATAAAGACCATGTAGAGGTCTTTTCCCTCCACCTTAAACTTCTCATTCTATTGCTTAAGTAGGACAATAGCATCAATTGTCGACCTCCCTGGCATATCACCACATTGGTTTTTTGATATACTCATTTCATGACTTAGTTATTGCTCAATCACTCTCTCCCACAGCTTCATAGTGTGGCTCATAAGTTTGATCCCTTAATAGTTCACACAATTTTGTGTATCTCATTTGTTCTTGTAAATAGGTATCACAATACTTTTCCTCCATTCATTTGTCATTTTCTTTGTTATCAATAACTTGTCGAACAGCAAGATCAGCCAGTGTGAACAAAAAAACAAATTATTGTTGATATACAAGGAATAGGGCTCAAGGCTAGGTGGTTTGGGTGGTGGAGCACCACAACGTGACGTCTTGAGTTCCACTCCTATCATGGCTAGGGGCCATTTTCCCTCTGAACTACCAAAAAAAAAAAAACTATTGATATAAAATAACACATTTGAACTTAGTGAATCTTTATGTAGAATCGCCGAAGTAAAACTGCAAATGAGTTTCAAAGATGGTTTACATTTTAAGATATGATCATGAAAGCCTCATTGCTGCGGGAGTGACACCTCAACCCCACTAGTCCAAAACAAAAAGAGAAAAAAAGAAGAGAGAGAGAGAGAGAGAGAAGAAGAAAAGAAAAACAGGACATCTGGATAAAACTCGATAAAACTGAAACACAAAAATTCTAAGTCCATTAAGTGCATGCCCTATTTTATGGATGCATGATGAATAAAGGTTCATAAGGGACACTTGGATAGAAGTTTAGAAATGGTATGCCCCATTGTGTAGAATAACCTAGTTAATCCCATTACATTACAGTTAACTAAAGTGTGTTGCCCATGAAACAAACAAATAGATTTTTCTATCCCATCCATTAACATTCTTGTGCAACTTAGAGTAATCCATTACATCTCATGCAGCAGAAACCAAACCATGCTGCCAAGAATCACAAAAAATGCAAAAAGTGAGAATGTAGTAACCTGCAGCTTTTGGGGAAAGAACAAATCATGCCTTCTCCATGAGGGTGCACAGCCACTCTATAGGGTATATCACATCCAGTGACAAACCTGTGTGTCTGAAAATAGTATAAATATTTGCCAAAGTTACAAGCTGAAAAGATGAAGTAAGGAACATGAATGTTGTGATAAACAATTCCATTAATTAAGCAGCATAGGCTCTCAACATCTTTCCCTAATCTAAACCATGCTAAAATCTATATTTTAGAATGACAAAAATGACCAAGTTATCCAAAAGGAAAATGAACAAAAACATTGCACTGTTCAAAGGTCTAGACATGGGCATGACATTTATCCATGCGCATATAGTCTCCACTAAGGTATGAGATATAAGGAAGATGGAAACTACTGAAGAATATGCCACATGAAATAAGCTCATCTAAAACATGAACATTGTAAAGAAATAATACTTAATTAAGTTTTAAGCAGTGCCTACATCAAGATGGAGAAAACGAAAGAGAAGTACAATGAAGCAAATTTGCAAATCGTTTTGTGTAGTGACAATGGCGGAAGGTCTATTCAGTAAAAAGACAATAAACCACAGCAATGACGGAGCAATTTTGTAGTCGGCTTAATTTATCTAAAGGCAGTAAGACATAGACTGAGGTTATATACATAGGAAACATGCTGTTCAAAAATGATATTTTGCAATCACTAGATTCAGGAAAAAGAAAAAAGAGGTCAAAATTCAGCAACCTCGGCAATTCAATATTGCTTTACAACTTGGCTTGTGAAGTTATAACTAATAAGGATATGTTGAGAGAACAAAAGACAATACAATTAAGGCATTTATGGAATTAAAGAAGATTTAAGTCCTCAAGAAACAAAACCAATAATAGAAAACAGATTAAAAACCACAAAAGCAAAAAGATAAGTAGCCACTGAGTTATCAACGGAAAAAAAATAAATAAATAAGTAGGCACAAAGTCCAAGACACCACAAATTCAATAACAGAAGCACCACCATTGTACAGTGCAACATCATCTAGCATTTGCAACAAGAATTAAGAAGAGTATTTCTATTAGTAGCCCAAATGGGCCCCATGTTGGAGGGCATTTATGACAATTTCCAATCATAGTGTCCAAATTGGCCTCATGTTTCGAAAGGCGGAAGCACTGCCCAGGCAGCCAGGGGTTGTTGCCTCATGAATGAGGCACTCCAAAGAACTCTTTTTTTTTTGTCTTTTTTTTGGGAGGGGGGGAGGAGGTGTTGAACGTTTCTAGGTGTGTGTGTGGAAAAAGCTAACATTGGCCAGGAGGTTAATGTGATAGAAAAATGCACCCCATACAAAACCCTCAACTTGACCATCCAAACAGGATTTATTTGACCCTAAATTTTGGCGATGGTCTTAAAATCAGTAGATGAACAACTTCAAAATAATTTATAAAAAATAATTTATAATAGACTTTTGAGCACATCCAACCCTAGATCTAACAGAGCACCGAAATAGTTGGTTGGAAATTGACATTAACCCAATTTTCTCTCTCCACAAAAACCATTTTACATGATTTTCTTTTTTTATAATATGCTGACTCAAGGCAATTTTAACAGTTTCAATCATAACAATTATGCCAATATGAAATCATCAGTAAGAATGATAACAATACCAACTACAAGAATAACTAATGTTCCTCAAAGCAGTGAACAGAATTTGTCTTCTAGTAACACCAAGTACTGTAAACAATTATAAATTTTAAAGTTTTTTTTTGTTTTGTAAGTACAAATATTAAGCTTTTAATCAAAAGTCCTCTTATTTTTTTATATTGTTAACATTGTATTGAAGGTAAAGAGAAGGTTACAAAGAGGTCCCCAAGAGGTGAAGTCACAGAGAGAGGTGACAAAGGAAAAATGAAAACGAAAACAACAAGGCCCAAAGGCCAACAAAAGAAAACAACCAAAAAAACCCTTGGAATCCACAGGAGCATACAACACCAAAGAGGCTAAGAAAAGCAAACCTAAAACAAACTAAAAACAGAGAGACACAAAACTCAGCGCCATCGCAAAACAGAGAAACACAAAAACTCAGCACCATCGCAGTCCTTCACGGCATAGAAGCTCGTTGTCTGGTGCGTTCATCTGCTACCTGGTTGGCCTCCCTCCAAGTATGAGTCCAGGAGATCTGTGTACGCCCGCAAAGATTATGAACTTTGTCAAAGATGTGCAACAATTTCCAAGGGGGTTGGGAAAGGGTAGATGCCCAGAGAAGGCCATTTTTGGAATCCCCTTCTATAGTGAGGGAGGAGACCCATGAAGGATCGAACAATCGTAGGCCTTCAAGCAGGGTAGGGATTCGGCCTCCGTGGAGTCTGTTGTCCCTATGGAGGAAGAGAATGAAAGAAGGGGGTTACCTTCATGATTGAGGAAAAGGCCACCTATGCCTGGGGGGCCAGGTTTGCCCAAGGAGGACCCATCAAAGTTAAGTTTAATGGTGCCCCTATTAGGGGGTCGCCACAAGGTGAACCGAGAGACTTTTATTGACCTATAAGAAAGGACATGTCCCCAATTAAGATGAAAGTCGTGTGCGGGCATTGCTTTGAAGTGTTTGTGATTTGTGGCCCAAAAGATTACCGTGCCCTGAAGGGTGTCTATGAGCTTGTGAATTGTTGCCAAAACTCATTGGAGAACCCTGTTATTGCGCTCCTCCCAAACTATCCAAAGGGTTGCTGCAACTATAGCTTTCCAGAGTAAGCTACCAGCTTTAGACCAGGGGAGGAAAGAGGAGAGCTTGAAGAGACTCGAGATGCATTCAGGAATAACCCATACCCAATCGAAAAGTTGGAGGAGTCACACCAAAGGTTAGAAGCTAGAGGGCAGTGAATAAAGAGATGATCAATTGTCTCTTCTGCAGAGAGGCACATAACACACCTATTGGGGGTTTGCAAGCCGTGACTTTGTAATTGATCTATGGTGACGACCATTCCCCACAAGGCGAGCCAGTTAAAGAACTGGATTCTAGAAGGGATGAAAGCGTTCAAGCCCTCGAAGCCGAAGGTTTAGTAGAGGAGGTTCCTGAGGGTCCAGGCTGGGGTTGATTGAGGAAACGAAAAAGAAAAGCTCCAGAGAAGACTCCAAAGGGATCCAGGGACCAAATGATTTTGTCCTCACCCAAAGGAGAGAGCTGGACCCATGAGACAAGAGAGGAGAGAAGGATGAATTCCATGAGTTCCTCATCTGGTAAGGGCCGGTGAAGGTCAGGGTTCCAAGAAGTGGAAGTGCCCAAAACCGGAAGGAGTTCCTCTTAATGCTGGGGATTTCTATCAAGGTGGAAAAGAGAATGGAATTGGATGGAAAGGGAAGAATCACCCACCCAAAGATCAAGCCAGAAGCGCACATTTCGCCCGTTCTTAGGAAAAAACCTGATATAGGCTAAGAAAAGGTGGAGTGCGTGTGAGATGGACCGTCAAAACCCAGAAACACTGTGGGGATGAACTTTTGGTAAGGACCAAGGCGAAGCAAAAAGTCGATACTTGGATCAAAGGATGAGGTGCCAAAGGTTGTCGACTGGGTGGCGAGTCTCCAACACCACTTGCAAAGGGGGGGTGAAGTTTTGAGGTTTAAGGCCGTGAATCCCCAAGCCCCCCACAGAGAATACCTTCCATACAATGTTGGAAGCAATTGGGAAATTTGGGCCAGGGTTGAAAGGCTCAACTCCACATGAGCTATGCGAGCCACTATTAAGGACTATGTTTGCTTTAGAGGATTGGGGTAGGGGTAGGGGTAGGTGGTCTAAAGATGCCAAGGGAAAGAAGACATGAGATATTATTCTTTCTAATATTTTTGGCATGGGGTAAAGCATGCGATACTAGTATTTCTACCTTTGGTGAAGGTCTTGCGTTTGGTTGATGCTGTTGAGCCCTCTATGGACTTTATACATGATGCACTTGAAGGAGCTAAGATGGATTGAGGGAGCTAAGAAGAATATTGTAGATAATTTGAGCAATGATGAGGCCAAGTATGGCCCAATTTGGGAGATTATAGATGCCAAGTGGGATAAGCAGCTCCATAGAACATTGCATGCAACAAGGTACTACTTCAACCCCAAGTTCTTTTATGTTGATGTTGATATCGAGGCAAGATACAACTATAGATGGTTTTAGTGAGTGCCTTGCGAGATTACTTCCTGATACAAATATCCAAGATTAGATATCAATTGCAGAGATCATTTCATACAAGTGTGCTTTGACGTCATTCAGGAAAGATATGGCCGTAAGACAGAGACGCAAAGACAAAACAGGTAATAATAATATATTTTGTATATTGGATTCAAAATTTTCTTTCAAGTTGCTAAAATTTTGTATGATAATGTTAAATACCTAAATTAATTATAAAGGTTGCCCACATATTGCAGCCCAATGGTGGAGACAACATGAGAGTAGTGCTCCACACCTCCAGAAGGTTGCCCACTTCTTTTGAGATGGCATTGTATATTCTTTTCTTCGTTTACAAGTTCATTTTTCTATAATTGTTAGAAACGTCTGTGATTCCGAATCGTTTCTGGAATCAGAGTTGCGGAATCGCGTGTATCAGAAGTTTCAGAATCTAGAAATTGTTGTCCATACGATTTGGATTTGCGAAAAATGATTCTCACTATTTTGGAATCGCGATTCAAAAAATTAGGAATTGCATGAATCGATGTCCGTTCATGTTGGAATCGTGTTTCATACCTCTATGGAATCACACATGACCTCACTTGGAATTGAGATTCTCCCCTTACTAGAATTGCGAACCAATTCCCTCCGACATATGAGAGAAGTATTTAGAAAATATATAAATTTACGCATTACTACAAGATTGAATTTTGGTCTGCATATACTCAATCCAAGACTCCAAGTACTAATGTCAACCTTTATCATATCTTTGTAGACAATCTCATACAATGGACTCGGTCTACCGATAACCTTATTAAGCCTACAAGGTCTGGCGCTAGCCTATAGCATACAAAGAGTGAAAACAAGAGCAAGCTCCCTTTATCTCCTTTCCTTATTATCTTCTTATTTTACTTAAAGAAAAGCATTTTTATCCTCTTATTCAACTTGAAGAAATGACAGTGCCGATCATATATTAAAACATTATTACATTCGTAGTTTAGTACCAACACCATGTACCAAACATTATTAAATTTGAAGTAACATATTTTTTTAATATTTATTTATTCTTGGTAAGAGTTCTTAAAAAGTAACATGAAATGAAGGATGGAAATTAGTAAATAAGAACTTAAAAAATTTAACATATCGCTTATATTTTAAATTTTGATTTTATTACCGTGTGCAACAACTTCAAATTCTCTCACGTTCTCATACATGTCGTGCTCACTTATGATTAAGCACACATCGAAGGGTTTCTGCTCTTCCTATGCTCACATTGCTTCCTGACAACATGGATTCGTAATTCCTTAATACTTTGAATCAACGTTTAGCATAAGTAGAATCGTGTTGTTGTGTAGTAAGGAATCACGATGTCTGCGATATAGAAACTTGATTCCAAACAACATAGATTCGCAATTCCTTAATACTTTGAATCAACATTTAGCATAAGTAGAATCGCGTTGTTGTGTAGCAAGGAATCACGATGTCTGCGATATAGAAACTTGATTCCAAACAACATGGATTAGTAATTCCAAAAAGATTAGAATCACTATTTCTCACAAGTAGAATCACATTCTTGTGTAGCTAAGAATCATAAAGTCATCGATATAGAATCTTGATTCTGGCAATCCAAGAATCGAGATTCTTAAACTAAGTGGAATCGCGTTCCACGAAACATGGAAACATGATTCTTTTCTTTTAGAATTGACTTTTGCCCAGGGAAACGCCGAATTGATATTCCGAAACGGAATCGCTACCCTCATAGGCGATTGGGGTAACTATACATTTTCTAATATAGATTCATAAGAGACAATAGATACAAACTATTAACATATGATATAATAGGTTACTAACAAATGGCTTTATTAGTAATAGTAATAGAAGTAGACTAGTAGTCTAGTACACATACATATTTTCTTATAGGTGCATACAAAGAGAAGTAACAGGCTTGAGCAAAGGCAGCTCAATGACTTGGGTTTTGTTAGAGAGAATCAGAGGCTCAAGGAGAAGTTTAACAGGCAAAAGAATGATTACATCACTTCGAAAGATATGGATAATGCTTCTGATTGGCTAGTCAGAGAATATGGTACTAAGGAGGTATTCCCCAGGGAGGGTTTGACTTGGGAAATGGTCGAGGAGGCTTCGGGGCGAGCTTCTGATCCTAGGCGGGCCACTCGAGCAACAAGTTCTACTGGTACTTCACACTCATAGAGGGAGAGGGAGATAGAGGATGAGGAGGTAGATTTAGAAGAAACTGCAAAAGAAGAGCCACATGTTGAAGAGGGTGATGATCCTGATGATGATGGTCTCAATTCCGATGCAAATGAAAACAATAATGATGTTGATTTTGATTCTTATTGATGATGATTGAAGAAATGCAGATGTCCTCTATCTTCTTCTTTTGTAATTGCACCATCTCAAATTGGACTTTAGACATTTGGATGTTAGACTTTTCGCCTTTTTGGGCTATTTTGGTGTTTGGTTTTATACTTATGTAAGTTTGTTAAAGACTGATTTGGAGAGTTGGAGACTTCGAGTCCATGTTATTATAGAATATGGAGAGTTGAAGACAATTACTAATACATGGCCTATTAGACTTTTAAATTTTTTTAAATTTTGTATGTTTTGAATTTTGAAAAATTGTGAACAAGTTTATTCTCAACATGCGATATGACTTATACTTAGACATTAAAAAGTATATTACAATATTTTCAAATGCAATAGATTACAAAATTAACACACATATATGCATATATGTGCGTTCAGACAGCACATATATGTATATATCTCAATATTTCTTTTGAAACCTTGATTGAAATTCAGAGCAATGTCTATTGTACTTTCTTCAAATTCTACTTATTCACCTGCCATTACTTCATAGAGACAGTGAATACGAGCAATGCCATCCCCATTGGAAGTATAGCGCCAGTTATTGACAATCTTTTACTTTTCAATTATATTGCTCAATTCCGTTCATAGATAATAATACTAATTTTATCAGCTTGAGGGGTTACACTTAATGCCTCTTAATTCTCTTTCAAAACCGGAAAAAAAGGGACAAAAAGAAGAGACAGTTTCAGATTAACCTAAATAATTTATTTCCTCATGCAAAATGTGAAGGATGAAAATACACCAGAAATACTCATGAAAATAGGCTCAAAATCATCACCGAGATTAACTGGGAGTAACTATCAATGAATACGCTGATGAATTAAATGCCTAAACTCTAAAAAAAAAAAATGCATAAATATGCATCACATCTAAGGACACACAAAGAGTTTTAGAGACTGACTGGTTCAGAGAGAGAATTGGTAGCAAAGTCGAATTGGGCGATCAATAGGGTGTTTTGGAGACCAGTACGGCTGTCGCCTCCGCCTCCCCCGAGAACAATGAAGCGCTGTTCATTTCCTCTCTGTTTTTCGTCTGGTTCTTCTTCTGAGTTCTCCTCTCCAATCACAGGGGGTACCCAGTATGCGTAAAACAGAGGCAGACCAAATTTCTTAGCACAGGGCGCGATCCGCTTCCTTCCCTTTCCCATTCTCCAAAACTCACACACGCACTCTCTCTCTCTCTAGAACCTGGCTTTCTCTCTCTTGTTTTGAGTGTAGGGAAGCGGGATCGGTTTCCTTCCCTTCCCCATTCTCCAAAACTCCCCCTCTCCCTCTCTCTAATGCTGGGGATCAAACAAGTTGCAGTCGAGATTGCGTCCTCTATCAGCTCAGCTGAAGGCCGGAGAGAGAGAGGATGACGATTAGAGGAATATGTATAGTCAGCAAATCGCCGTTTAATAGGCGAGTTTTTCAAGCAATTGGTGTTTTTTATGGAAACAGTTGTAAACGGAGATATCTTGAAAAGGACGGTAAAAAGTCCGTGTACTTTTCTTAAAAACAGTTTAAAACGCGCTTTTTTAATAATTCGTTTTAAATCTGGCCAAAAAAATCGCATCTTTTTTTACCTATATTTTTTTTTGGAAAGATTTTTTTTTTTTGTGTTTTGTGTATTGCAGCCATGGCTACTTTTATGCTTTTCAAAAAAAATATTATTTCAAACAAAAAACCTAAAATAGAAATTTTTATCTCCACTATGTTCTTCAAAGCCTTTTTTTCTCCTTTTTTTTTAAACTTGGACAAATAGATGCAGATATCAATGTTATTATGTTGTGTAAATAAAATACTGATTATAGCAAATCATTTTGTAAAGTAAATCATTGTGTAAAGAAAATCATATACATGCAGATTTATGTGATTATTTGTGATAATCGTTTTTATTGAAATACTGTTTATGGCACAAATTAGAGCTCAAAACATAGTATTTTACTAATAAATGAGAAGCACAAAGTGGGACTACATAGACAAAGTAATCAATATTTTGCTTTTGATTATAAGATAACAAAGATAAACAATATAGTGTAAATTGTAAACTTATTGGAGCGAGCAATTGTACATATAGGATTAGTCCCCAAACCTAATCCTTTAGCTCTGCTTGTTGTTTTCCAATAAAATGAAAAACCCTCTTCCTTTTCTCTCTCTAAAAAGTAATTAAGGCCTCTTGACAAATCAATATAGTTAGGGCTTTCTCTCAAACAACCTCCCAAATCAGGGAGAAAACACCTCTTCAAACTATCCCAGATCAACATCTCATCTTTTTTTGCTCTTTCTAAAAATCAGTTAGGGCCTCTTCCATTATAGTTTGTGAAGCCCATGAACTCTTCCTTCTTTCTTCTTCTGTCTCTATAAACCCTGCCTATGAGCCCAACTCATTTCGTCTCTTCCTTCTTCCTCCTCTCTCTAAACCGTAACCTTCTTCTCTCTCTTCCTTCTTCGTCCTCACTCTAAACCGTAAACAGACAGCTGCGAAACCCAAATTTCGACGGTCCTCTTTTCAAGTAAAGAAATTCATAAAACTTTAATGATACCTATTGTGTGACCATACTATAGTTAAATGCTTATAATGAGAAAACAAAAATCGTGTATTTGTTTTTTACCTGCCAAGTAGGTGTGATGTTAAAGTATTTAATAAATAAATTTATATAGTATATTTATTTTTTATATGTAAATGGGTAGATTTATATGGTACCATTTTTTTTGGTATATACTAGTTAATTATGTATTTAATATTGGAGGATTGCATCAAAGTCACGAAGCATCTAAATTAATTGATTTAATTAAATTAGTCTAGTAAAATTTGTATAGATGAATTAGTTATTGATGGCCTTGATATAAATTTTATTTTTTATAAATTTAAAATTTTAATATTATAAATTTATCCGATTTTTTTACTCTGATTTTTTGAGCCTAATCCGATATATTAACAATATCTTTATATGAAGTATTTTTGCCGCTCCATATTTTTTACCCAATTTTTTCATCTGATATTTTAAAATAAAAATGATTTGTTTCCGATTTTATGGTCAGCCGATTTATTGATAGGCCCCGACTTGCTAACTATATATGTCACTGCCTCCGAGACACGAACCCCCTCTCTCTCTCTAAAACTAGGAAGTGCTCTCTCTCTCTCGCTCTCTCTCTCTAATGCGTTTCAATCGCGCTCTTCTCTCGGGCATTGCAGACGACTCAATTTACAATAAAATAATTTTATATTCCCGCGGGAGCATACGCAAAGTACTTTCGGTAATGGAAATCTCCATGATGAATCTATAATCAATTTCCAACACCGTCCATAAATTTTGAAACTCAGTATAGGTCTTCAATGAACACTTATTTTTAGGGTAAAATGGATGGTCTAGATAATTTATTACAATATACACAACTTTAGAGCGTAAAATCTTGATTTTTTTTTACAATCATAATGTTCAAGCAAATATATTCATATAAAAGGTTTTCCAATACTTGAATTGTAATTTTTGATGAATTATGAGGTGAGGCTTTACTTGTTTTAATACGGTGCAGCCCTATCAAACCATTTTCCATTTATTATTCGGACGAAATCATATGTTTAGGACCCAAAAACAGGAGAAAAAGAGTTGTATAGTCATTTTTTAAATATCAAATGATTTAGCTTTTCGTTGAGTCGTCATCATCATCATAGTCTTATCCTAACTATTTGAGGTCGGTTATTTTGTTATACTATTCTTCTCTATCAAGGGTTGTACCCTCAATATGAATATAAGTCCTCATATTTTTTCTCATTAATTATGTCTATGTTCTTGTGGGCATTCTCTTTGTCTTTTTAAAGGCTTCTACTTAAACCAAATCACATCTACTATTTTATTGGTTGTTGTTTTTTATTCTTCCAAGGTGTACTTGTAATATCATTAAGAGGTTGCAGTGTAATTCCCTATGGGCAGGGACTATTGAAAGTAAGGGATTGCATCTTGTAAACTGGAATTAGCTATGCCTGAAATGATAAGAGGGGGAATTGGATTTGCATCATGTATTGGACTTTAATGTAGCTGGTATGATGAAGTTTGCTTTGATAGTCATTTCTAACTCATCTACTCCCTTGGCAAGATTTTTCAATCATAGTTACTACTGCTACACCACAGTTTGGAAGGCTAAGTCTAGAATATGCTCACATGCATGGCATGGTATAGTTTTGGGTATAAATAGGTTGCAACTTAATGTTAAATGGTTGGTTGGCAATAGTAGGCATATTAATGGGTTAATCCATAGTTATCAGAATAGTCTATAGTACAAATTCTCTCTTGCTTCTTGGTTCCTTGGCCTTGGCAAAAGTATCTTAATTTTTGGAATGTGCGCCTCTCAAATGGAATATTCTCCCTTCCTTCTTTGACCATCTCTCTCAAGAAGTACTCTCTAAAGTTCAACCTATCCGTCCGCTTGAGGCAGCTTGTTTGCATCCATGCGCCCGATGGTCTTTTCTCAATGAGGAGGGTTTGGGAGTACATCAAAAGGCACGAGCCTGTAAAACTTGTCCTCAAAATCTTGTGGTCTATACCTTCTCTTCCTAGGGCGAAATGGTTCACATAGTTAGCTTTGTATTCCAGGTTACGTACTTCATCATTACTTCAATCAAGGGGGCCTCGCTTTAGTTTCCATTTTCCCATTGTGTGCCCAAGAGGAAGAATTTTCAAACCATATTATGGTGTAATGCACATACTTTAATTTGATATGGAGATCCATTCTTAGTAGATTTGGGACGTGTTTTCCCCTTGAGCAAACCATAGCTACTCTGATGGCCAATCGGATCAAATTTAGATTTCAATCCATAAGTATGCAGTGCATTTGGAATAGTATATATCTATTACCATTTGGAAAATTTGGATGGAGAGAAATGCGTGTGTCCTTGGGGGGGCAAGTTCTCCTAGGGAACAACTCCTACAACATATTTTACATTGGGTTAAAGCTTTGACAATGGTTAAAAATTGGACTTCCATTCCTTGAAGTTTAGCATAGTTGCTACCTCAAATTGCAATGGAGTGTGGTTCCCCCCCGGTTCAAATTCATGTGGCGTGGCAGCCACCTCATTTAGGTTTCTTCAAGCTCAACATTGACGGGGCTTCGAGGCGTAATCCAGGTAGCGCTGGCTGTGGGGGAAATGATGCACGTAGATTCATTGCGGCCTTTGCAACCCCGTTGACAGTAACCCTAATGACACAACTAAATTATATGCATTGGAGAAGGGGAACTCACTAGCAAGGGAACTTAAATGTCTACCTATTATTATTGAAAGTGACTCCAAGCTTCATGTTGATTCCATGAGTCGTTGCTGTAGTCCTCCTTGGAGATTGTGCACAATGGTAGATAATTGTAATTCAAAGCTTGACTCTTTCGTTGGAAATCATTAGAAGATCTGACATCTTTATTGCGAGGCCAATTTGGTCGTTGATGCCTTGGCCTAGGCTGCAATTTCTATGAATGAAGCAATGGTTGGCGTATTGGGCCCTTAGATTTTGTAACGCCTTTCATTTTATCTGATGTTGCTAGTGTTCTCTTTCCAAGAGTTGTATAAGAATTGTTCATGAAACATATTTTTGCCATTTTTATTAATCGGCCAGGGGTTTGATATCCCCACTGATTATCCCCAAAAAAAAAATCTCATTTACTAACCGGCCCTGTATTGGGTCCCCGCTCTCTGAGGGCATTTACTAACTAAGAAAAAAATCTACTTTCCTCATCATATTTCTTATTGGAGCCACCTTTAAGGTCCTTGTATTATTTAAATTTAGTAAATTTGAAGTTCGTAAAATTTTGGATAAAATTTTGGATTTTCAAGATTTGATATTTAAAATATGAAATATTTATAAATTCAAATTTTTAAAATCCAAAATTTGAAGTTTCATATTTTTAAAACCCAAGGCTTTTGCTTTTGGATTCTCCAAATTGAAATTTTCTAGATTTAAGGATCTCAAATTCTTTTTATTCCCAGGTACACCAAAAGTGGGGATGTGGAACTAGAAGAACTTTCAAATTTTCAAGAAATTACCACAGGAATTTCGGATATCGAAGATACAAGAAGGGGCATTTTGGGTTAAAAAAAAAAAAAGTAGAAAATGGAGTTATGAACCAAAATTTAAAAATTGAAGAGAATTTTTCTTCTTTTTTATAACAATATTCTAGGGAGATATGCGCATAAATTTATAATAATTTTATATTTTACAATTTAAAAATATTATCATATGTATTTCTATGACTATATCTATGTTGTCCAGCTATTATTATACCATTCTTAAATAAAAATACTAAATATGAGTAATGTATTAACAACAAAATATGTTCCACACATAATATTATTATTTATAATAAAATATTGAGAAAATTATAGATACCCCCCAAAA